GTACTGGAAGAGCAGCGGTTCCCCGCCACTGCTTACGTAGACGATCTCGCAGTCGTGGTGGCATCGAACAGCAGAGCCAGATTAAAGGAAGAGGCTGAACGGTGCGCCAACCTTGTAGGAGAATGGTGCGAGAGAAAGAAGATGAAGATGGCGGCTTCAAAGACTCAGTCCGTTCTTTTGAGGGGTAAGACTGACAGGGCCCACCCTATCACTCTGAATATACAGAGAGAAACGATACGTCCAAGTGAGGCGGTCACCTATCTTGGGATAAGGACTGGAAGAAAGTTTAACTTCACCCCTCACTTGGACTATCTGAGAAGTAGAGTGGCCCTGGCTCTTAATGGACTGAGTCGCATCGGGGGCGCCTTTTGGGGTCTCAGATACCCAGCCACTTTGGCTATTTATAACGGAGTTATCTTGGGTATCCTGAGATATGCGTCCCCTGCGTGGAGTCAGACTCTCTCGCACCTACAGAAGAAAAGGTTGGCGACGATCCAGCGTATGGCTCTGCTGCGTGTCACTAGGGCGTACCGGTCAGTATCTCATGAGGCGGTACAAGTCTTAGCCGGAAGTATTCCAATCGATCTTCAACTTCGTGAAGACTACTTTCGGCACGAAATGAAGAGAGATGGCTTGGTGGATCTACCGGCTAATCTCCGAGTGAGGATCAGTGAAGACCCAAGCAGATGGAAGAGGATTCTCCGGGAATGCACATTAGAAGAATGGAACCGGCGTTGGATGACAACGCCAAAAGGATCAACCCTAAGGAAATACTTCCCCACCGTCGGTTCAAGAATGGAAACTACATGGCTCCTCCCGGACTATTGGGTCTCGCAATTCCTCACGGGGCATGGGGGATTCCGAGCAAAGCTTGTTCAACATGGTAAGAACATTGATCCCCTATGCCCAAGTTGTAGGGTACCGGAGACCGCCGAGCACGTCTTATTAGCCTGTACCGCCTATGAGGCATTGAGGGCTAAGTTGCTGAGGGAGACTGGGCTCTATGTCTTATCAGAGCGCGATCTACCTCAGCTAGTGACCAGAGAGAACTACCCGCACTACAAGGCCTTTGTGTACGGGTGGAAAGACATCATTGGCCCAGCCCACTTCTATTTGGGTAGAAGAGAAGAAGTTCCACCACAGAGGATGGAAGAGCCAAGCTAAACAGAAAATCTTATTGTATCGATTGCAGTATTGGCTAGTTATACACACACGTGTAGCTATCCAATACTGCAAACACTCGTATTGCCAAACTGGCAGGGCAGAGATTTAAATAAATAAATAAATAAATAAAAGGGCGTTTATCTAGTGCTCGAGTAATCTGAAACGTCGAGCGATTTCTTGTCGTTTCAGGTGGTATGAGGATTCTAAGCTAGACGTTTGTCCAAGTGGGGAGTCCAAGGTATCAGATTTGTTTAACTGAGATAAGTGATGTATTATTAAAGTATACTGTAGGACAGGAGTTCATAGATTTACCACGAAGGGAAACGTGATTTGATGGGATTTATTATAATTTATTTAATCCTCCAGTTTTGATACCATTCTTCAAGGTTTGTGATTCGAATGATCTTTAAAAAAATCTTGTATTTGAAATGTAACTGCTTCACAGAATATAAAAATCCTTTCTGATTTATAAGAAGGCGTAAGGAAATAATTTTAAAATGATCTTTAAAGAAATAAACAATATATTTAGTATTTTATGCTTAAAAATATTATCCGTCGATAAATTATATTTCAGTTGAAGTTTGGTTGCATTCGTACAGTATTTTTAATATAAATCTGAAGTTTAGTTGTTAAAGATCTAGCACAATTAAGTTTCTCTATTTAATCACCAGTTTCATGGAAATAAGTTTTATTTATAACTTTATTTTACATTATTGATAATGCAAGTTTTGGAAATTAAATAACTTATTTACTTATTATCATCATCAGTATACACCCCTCCTCTATCCCAGTAACGCTTTTTCACTGATAGTTATAAAAAGCTCGGATGATCAAATCAAACTTCAAAAAAGATGATTTTTTATTTCGATGTTCGTGCACCTTCTCTGAGTTCTTGAAGGTCTAACTGTTAATAAATGCTACTACATACACGTTCTTGCTGAAAGAGAACGGGGCATGCTCCCTGAAGGGGCGGTCAGAAAACTTCCAGCACTGTTTCAGGCAAAGGGAGATTAGCAGTTTGGAACGTTGTAGGGATAAATATTTTTATTTTATTAATGTATATATATATATATATATATATATATATATATATATATATATATATATATATATATATATATATATTACAAAAGACAGGAAATATCAAGTCGATAATTACCATAAACGCATTTAATATGTACTTTTGTACTTTGTAATGTGATGATAATTTACCAATACGCTAGCTTACTGATTTATCTAAGGGGCCACTTAGAGCGTATAGATTCGCCATTGAGATAGCCAAAGAAGTACGTTTTTGTTTTAATTTTCAAAAAATATCGAAATATTATATGCACGTAAGAAATAACAATCAATGGTAAAAATAAGAAAAATTAAATTAAAGGAAACAAAATTGTGAACAATGGCGGCCCTATAAGCCCGATCTGTTTTTTCAAAGTTATCGCCATTAAATTATTTTTAAAACTAAAAAAAAAAAATGCAAGCTACTTTTTAACAGTTACAAGTTTGTAGAGGAAAAAAGAATTGTTCCACGGAGAAAGTTTTATTCGAATGGCTTGCTCGTTAAAGTGTTAAGTGTACTTAGGACCACGTCTAATTATTTTAAGATTTTCTCTTTTTTTTTTTTTTTTTTTTTTTAGATAATTTTATTCTGGGACTGAAGTTCTCCTTAGAATAACACCAGAGTTCAAAAAATATGTACATCAATCTGGCTTTTAGATATATTAGAGATATACAAAAAAAACTAAGTGAAATACAAATTTACAAAAACACTAAGGAAAACCCAGGTCTATACATAAATCTAAGAAAAATACAAATATATAAAAAAAAAATACTAAGAGGGAAATAATCAAATAAAAAGAAAATAGCCCTTACGAATTAACCGCTGGCGAGCAACTGTAGTTACAGAGCCTAAAATTTCTTACAAGCTTGCGCAAGATTGAATGTGTAGTAGGTAGTGGAAAAGGAGTTGTTTGAAGGATTTTTTGAAGGTGATTTGACGTATGGAGATACGAGTAGGTAAGGAATTCTAAAAGGAGGTACCAGGAATGACGAAGGATTGAACGAGGGAGTGGTTTTATGGGAGGGAGTATATAGATCTATAGATTGAGATTTTGTATTAAGAGAGTGGATTGAGAAACGTAGAGTAAGCAGAATTAGCATGCAAGGAGGGTTTTTGGTTCTGAGGTATTGAAAAAGGATAATACCAAGTAGGAACTACCGTTGGAAAGCAGGATGTCTTCAACTCAGTTTACAAGCTGTAAACATAGGAACGCCTCAGAATCCCAAAGATAAATCTTATGAAGCAATTCAAAAGTCTCTTCATTCTTCTCAGTAGTCGAAGTGGGAATAAACAAGAGATATTACAAGCTGTTTGGTTTTTTCCTGGAATAGAATGGAAGGGTTTTTTCATGGAAACGTGGGAACTGTTTATGGGTTGTTATGGATTTGCGGGTAATCTGAGAAATGTGGTTATTCCAAGAGAGGTTCTGATCAAAGAATGCTACATGGTATTTGACTATCGGGAAGAAATGGATAGGACGGTTATTGAGGTAAAATATAGGAAAAAACTAAAAGGAACTAATACCTAGAACCGATGAGGATAGCCTTAGCTTTATCTGCTTTCAGCTTCAGTTTATGTTTTTCTACCCGCCTGTGGATACAGTCAATACCATCTTACAGTTTGCGGCTATCATCTGGAATTTCAGAAGGTTGGAACTATAGGTAAATTTGGAAATCGTCGGCATATAAGTGATAGTGGGAGTGATGAGTGGATTCAGGAAGGTCGTTAATATAATTGGAGAAATGGGTCGGAGAGAGTGTACTACTGTATTATTGATCAATTATTGTTTAAGGAGAGTAGTTTGTACTATAGATAAATAATTTTAAAAAAATATAATAATAATAAAAGGAGTCGAATAGTTTTTATTATAGGAATGAGGTAAAAAGTTAAGGCAAGAATTATATGCAGATAGTAAGCATTTGTATACATTTCGTTATAGTATTTGCTCGACAGACGCATGAAGCAAACCGTCGTATATTTAGATTTCGTATTTCTCATGCATGGATCGCCACAGATCTAACTAGAGTTTTATATAACATCAGCTAAGATTTCTGACTAAGAATTTACTTTTTTATTGGCACAGTCGACAGCTATATTAAATAAGACGTTCATCACTTTCATAGCTTGGAAGAGATGGGCTAACAGATTGTGTCGAAGGCGGTCTTGAAGTCTATGAATAGCATCCATAGGTGCTATTAAATTCTTTCATCTTTTCATACGTCTACTTGAGGGAAAAATGTGGTCTATTGTGGATTTATTAGAGCTCAATCTCCCGTGGTGGTATCTAATATTTCATTTAAAAAACTCTGGTTCGTAAAATAAAAGGGTTTTCTTAATGTCTACTTCCTGTGCTTCTATCACAATCATGATGAAGTTATAATGCACCATATGCATGCTTGTAGACTATTGAAGTGAATTTTGTAACTTCTTGAAGCAATTCATTTTATAAAATCTATATCGTTATAAAATTAAATCATCCTTAAGTTTTTACTGCTACGAGCTATTTTCCTAATAAGTCGTACTCAGCTAGCTTTGATTATATTCAACATTAGAAGGAACATATCGGTTAATTTATGAAATTCAACCTGAAATAAACTATTAGCATGATTACCTCGGAGTATATTTGGTGTTAACACTCGAAGAGTAAATCTTCCTGGTTCATTGTTAAACACTGGGTGTAATCGCTCGGAGATCCGATATTAGCTTGATGACTAATTAGAGGTTCAATATGGACTTGAATTGTTAATTAGTCAACGGAGCTTCCTGCTTCGATTCAGTTGTCATCAGTTTCAATCCTAGTGTCCCATTAATGAATGAATCAATCCTGTTGAATTTGAAATAATATTAATTTATTTATTTATTCCTCAACAATATTATAGGTAATGGGAAGAGTAACCTTTGGGAGGTAGTAATATTATTACTTACAGGAAGATTTTTGTAAAAGGTTATTTACCAACCATATTCATTACTTTACTTGGTTTCATGGATGTCCTCGTTCAAATGAAGTTAAAAAAAAAAAGATAATAAATCCATAAATCATTTTAATGATGATACGTTTTCTTGTTCAGTGAAGTTAACTCAAATTACAAATGTATATAACAATTTTAACTGGTCATTAGTGTATTCACCATCTCCATATAAAGGTTTTATTGATAATGTTACATCAGTAAATCACGCTAAATTTACCCTCACAAACGTTCACACCCTTAACAACATCACTATTTTATTTTTATTTAGAAATACAATAATCTTTCACGTGGACAATAATTGTAGTGGTATATGAACACATTCACTCCATATATATAGAAAATATAAAATTAACAAAAGTAAAATAATTACTAAATAATATTCAAAATCTATGTACAATAAAAAATAAAATAACTTCAATATAATTAAATTAAAAATATAAAAACACAGTCATACCTATATACAATATATACAATAAGGCAGAGAACCCCAAGCCAGGCTTCTTTCATCAACTATAGAAGGAAAAACAGGACTTCAAGAGATCCCTGCGCTACCTTCTCAGCCGCGTCACTGGTGCTAAAGTCATTGGAGTTTAAGCGATAGCGCTTTTGCCACATACACTCATGTCTTGACTCGAGAAGCTGGCCGGTGCCAGAGCTCCAAGATATATACTACAAAAGATCTTTGGGTCACTGCCGCTTCAAACTTCAACACCGAGGAGGATTGTAGGGATGAGTGGAACTAGATAGGGATTGTGCTAGGGGATTTTCAGGAATAAGGTCAAGGACAAATGGGATATGAAGATCATGATGAAGGGTTTTGTTGGTTACATATAACTGAGCATCGACTATTGTTCGGAGGACTTTGGACTGAAAGGATTTGATGCGTTTGATGTTAGAAAAGTTTGCTGTTACGCATAGTTCAAGTCCGTAGATCCAAATAGGTTTCAGGATTGTTTTGAAGATCAGTAATTTGTTGTCAATTGAAAGTTGAGATTTTCTAGTCAGTAGTCTGTATAGTTGGCCGTATCGTCGGTTAAGTTCTTGTCTTTCAAGTCTAGTATGTGGGTTCCACGTTAGTCTTCAGTCTAAGAGGATGTCAAGATATCGGACTGTGTCTGAAAAAGGAAGCTGGATGGCATTAAAGTGGTCTGATGGACAGGATCTGCCCCGAGATCGTGAAGATAATGTGTTTGTAATTGGATTCGTTTACTTTGATGGGCCATTTATTACACCAGTGCTCAATCAGAGAGAGAAGTGCCTTTGCAGATTTAAAGATGCTATTTCGGGATCTGAGTTGATTGATAGGATGGCGGTGTCATCACCAAATGTTGCGAGGAAGGTATCGGGAGGGACAGGGATATCATCGATAAAAAATATATAAAGGACGGGGCCCAAGGGAACACGGGCTTCACCTGTGTAGGAATTCGCACCATCTAAGAACGTCTTTTGTGTTGTAAAAAAACTACCTCTTGCATTTTGTAAAAAAGAAAGAAAAAAAAACATCGAATCTCATTGCGTATACTCGTGCGGAGTTTTTGTACCTAATTTTGTGACGGTCACTATTATTTCATTTTTTGTTCAAAACTGCTGAACTTATTTTTCTGCCGTGAGTTACTCAAGGAGATTGGAAAGCCCATTAATTACCATATTTTTAGCTACTTGGCTGTTGTATAGGTGATGGACAATGTTTCAGTAATGTAGACTTTAAACTTTTTACTAGACAGATGGATAGAAACCAGGAAATTAATTTTACTACGGAGGGTAAAAGAATTGATATTTTGATTAATTAATATAAAGATAAAAAAAACACACTTTTTATGTGCGCATGTGCTAGAGAATCAATATTTATATTTCAAAATTACTGATTTTTTTATAATATCGATGAAAATATCGACCCTGGATGGCATTGGTATTTCAATTCCGATATTTTGATTGTATCTATATTCACATTTTGAAATATAAATATTGATTCTCTAGCACATTCCCACATAAAAAGTGTATTTTTTTTATCTTTATATTAATTAATCAAAATATCAATTCTTTTACCCTCCATAGTAAAATTAATTTCCTGGTTCCTATCCATCTTCGTTGCACTCAGTTTTTTTTCTAAAAATTTCCACTCAACCATTTATGCCTCCCATTCACCCATACATATGATTCAGCGAAATGCTAATTTATTTCTATATTCTATAGGTCACATAGATTTCTTTGACGAATCGTGGCCTTGTTTTGAAAAGGTTTAATTGACGAATTTGGGAAAATTGAGTTTATACTCTGAAATCTCTCACAACAAATTTATCTATGTACTAAATGAATGAACAAAGTTTATAACGTTATTCAAGTCTACTATTAAAAAATGAAATACTTTAAACGGAAGAAACTACCTGAAACAAAGCGACACCGTACTGAAGCCTTTTACAATTAAGGAGAAACAAATCTGTTCATGCGCTGTCCCGAAATATACCGACTGCCTTTTAGCTTTGAAAATAGTAAATGAATATGTCAGTCAACTAATGGGTTCTCATTGATAGACATAAGGCAGAACTAGAGTCTTACTTTTGTAGTAAAAAGTTTTTTAAAACTTATTTGTTGAAAAATATTACAATCTGTCTCAAGGACATTTATAATAGTGCTCAGGGACTATATTCACACTCTATGTACAATAAATAAAATAAATTATACAGAAAAATAATATATATATATATATATATATATATATATATACAATAAAGAAGAACAAAACAACCCAAAGACAAATAAATAAAAAGAACACATACATAGCTATATACAATATTTACAATCTGGCAAGAGAACTCCTAACCAGACTTGTCCCTCCAACTGTGGAGGAAAAAGTATGATTCCAGCAGATCCCTGCTGCATCCCTGGAGCACATACACTCATGTCATGAGTGGAGAATCTTGCCATTGCCAGAACTCCAATATTTAAAAACTATAAAAGATCGCGGGGCCAACCGTTGTTTTAACCTTCTTGAAGGATTATAGGGATGGGTGGTGCTGGATAGGGATTGTACAAAGGGATTTGGATGATGGGTAAGGTTCTGGTGGAATTTAGAGAATTTTGCTGGGATAAGGTCTAGGACAAACGGGTTATTAAGGTCATGGTGTATGGTTTTGTTGATTACATAGAAAGGAGTATCGACTATTGTTCGTAGGACTTTGAATTGGAAGGATTAGATGCGTTTGATATTAGATGATGTTAGATAGGGAATTTTGCTGTTTCCAACAGTTCAAGTCCGTAAGTCCAAGTAGGTTTCAGTATTGTCTTGTAGATAAGTATTTTATTTTCAATAGAGAGTTTAGATTTTCTGTTTAGTAGTATATATAGTTGGCCATATCGGCGGTTAAGTTCCCGTCTTTTAAGTCTAGTATGAGGGTTCCACGTTAGTCGTCTGTCTAGTAAAAAGTTTAAAGTCTACATTACTGAAACATTGTCCATCACCTATACAACAGCCAAGTAGCTAAAAAGATGGTAATTAATGGGCTTTCCAATCTCCTTGCGTAACCCACTGCAGAAAAATAAGTTCAGCAGTTTTGAACAAAAAATGAAATAATAGTGACCGTCACAAAATTAGGTACAAAAACTCCGCACGAGTATACGCAATGAGATTCGATGTTTTTTTTTTCTTTCTTTTTTACAAAATGCAAGAGGTTGTTTTTTTACAACACAAAAGACGTTCTTAGATGGTGCAAATTCCTACACAGGTGAAGCCCGTGTTCCCTTGGGCTCCGTCCTTTATATCTTTTTTATCGATGAGTGATAACGTTTCCTTTGAAAATACGATTTTTTAAAATTTATTTAGAAATAATTTATTTAGAACTTATTTGACTCATTTCCAAAAAATACATTCACAATTCAGAAAAAACGCCTAAAATTGCTTATAATTACTTATACTTTATTGAATATCTTTGAAACTGGTGTTTTTATTCGTGCCTAAACTTTAGGAATATATGAGTTAACTAATTCAGGCAATAAAAACACAGACATTTGAATTATCATAACACCTTGAAAATAGAAGTTTTTGCCTGTCATTGAACATGCACTGTGCATTGTATGCACTGTGCTGCATCGTGTTCAAATGCAATTTTGAATAATAGCCCATTGCACAGAGGATGAAATGCTGAACGATTCCCTAGCTTACAGTATGCAGGTCCGATTTTTAGTTCTAATTTTGATATATTTTAATCTATATGCAAAAACTCCTCAATAAGTCGACTCCAGTCAAATTAACCGGAGCGTTACACATCGGAAATCTGACAGCTACATTTCATTGGCTCTCCACAAAAAATTTCAAAACGCGCCTAATGCAGTTTTCAATAGTTAGTTTAAAGGAAAGTTCAGACATTTCACAAACTATTGGAAATGTTAGATAATTATCTAACTTAAATAGCGACATTATTACTAACCCAAACTATTTTTTTTTTCATACTGACAGTAGATACAAAGTATCAAAATCAAAAATACAAGTATAGTGAAATAACCATTTATATATTTTTTAGTTCCATTGTCTGTGAAATGTCTAAGCGCACCTTAAAGTTATTAAACTGAAAACGATTTCTGTCTTTCCATTTATTTTTTGTGATTGTTCAATTTGTTTTCTAATATAAATTTCCTGTGTTATTCAGTTCATCATATGAACTTTGTCGTAAACTCATAAGGTGTTCAAAACACGTATATATATATATATATATATATATATATATATATATATATATATATATATATATATATATATTATATATATATATATATATATATATATATAATTCAAATTCAACACCTTTGGAAACGTCGTATCCATATACGTTAGTGACTATTTTTATTTATTTTTTCTTAA